AAGAATCTTTAAGGCAATATCCTTTAAAATATGAACCATTCAAAATAAAATGTCTAAAATGTAGTTTTCAAATTATTGTATAATCTATAAGTAGCAAATACTAGCTACTTATAGGTCCATTTGTGATAAATTTATTTTTAAAAAATGCATGCAGTGATCCATAGGCAGTATATTTAACTTTAAAACTTACATTTCGCGATAACTTTCCTAAAAGTACTTAAGATAGTTTTAAAACTTGAGCTGGGGCCAGGGAGATGGCTCAGTGAAATAAGTGCTTCCCTGGCAAGTGCAAGGACCTGAGTTCAATCCCTGGTTAAAAAAAAAAAAAACTTGAGCTGTAGGGGACTCAGGTCAACAATTTCTGACACTGCCAGTGAAGCAGAAGACCCAATACTATTATGGACTACTGAACTCTTTTAGATTATTTTGTTGAATTAACATACCTGTAATATTCAAATAATAGAACTTAACAAACAAAGGGTATACAGATGAATGTCCATTTTGTATCTGTGTATTCAAAGTGGTTAGGATAGATATATAGTTACATTCTCTTAATGAATAGAGTGATTTGTTCTAATGGTGTTTGTAGATAGGATATTATGTCCACATCTTGTACAGCAATTAACCACTGGGAGGAATGTATGCAATGTGTTAATTATTGAAACTGTCCTGTCAATTTGATTTGAAACTGTCTCATTGTTATTTGTTTATCAATAAAATCATTGAAAAAAAAAATTCTTGTATCTAAATCATGAAATAACGCTCATAAAATAAACCAGAAAAAAGCTACTACCTTATTATTAGACTTTTCCTGAATTTATGTCACATTAAGAAAAATATGTACTTTAGAAACTTCCTCATTAATCAATGACAATTGAATTGAAGGCTATATCTGTATGATTAGTCTCAAATTCTAGAATGATGTGCAAGAACATTTTGCAGTCAAGTTCATATATGCTAATTTGAAGAAATAAATTATTTCCAAGATAAGTACTGTGCTATAAAGAATATATGACTAACATGAACTTAACCAATGTTAAGTATGCAAATATGAACTATATTTTCATAGCTTAAACTTTTTTCTGCAACTAATATTGCTAAATTACTTACACAACATTACTCAAGGATAAATTATATCCCAATTTCTGTTCCAATTATTATTGTTTTAACTGGAGAGCTGTACTTAAATTTCAACCTGTTACATATGTCCATAAAACATGTATTGTGAAATTGATTAATAAACCTTGTACCAAGGTTTGTGAACAAATGTATGAAATATATTAAATTATCTATACCCAAAATTATTTGCCATTTTTCATTGTGTGAAACAATTTTTCATGTTCCTTTTCTTCTTACTTCTTCATAATTTCTTTGTCTTTTACTATTTTATTACATGCAAATTCTTTTTGTTCTATACATCTCATTTTTTATACCCCTACTAAGTGTCCATCTCAACAAAAGGTGGTGAGTAAATATTTCTTTACATGGAATTATATGAACATATAAACATCAACAGAAAAAGATAATTTGAGTGTAATCTCTGATAAAAGAAAAATCAGGTGGGAAAATCTAAATTTTTAATTATTTGGGTTTTAGGGATTTCTTTCATAGGTATATGTGGTGACTTCACTGGTCTCTCAGGAGACTAGCTACTACTTCAGGCTCTCCAACTTCTAAAGAAAAAAAAAGAATCATTTAAAAGTTTAATTGCTAATAGATTTAAATTATATGTTTTATTACACACATCTTATGAAATCCCTTTATAGCATCTAATTCTAAGCAATAGTTACATACAAATGTTTGTTTCACGACTTAGTCTGCATAGATTTGTTAACATTGTAGTGATGCTATTTTCAGTGATTTAGATGGATAGTATTGTATCTGTATTCTAACCATCTGTTATTACTGTTACTACGATCATGGAATTTTCTATAAAAAGGAAAACAAATTATCAGTGTTTTAAAGTTATAGTTAAACAACATTCGGGCTGGCTAGATAGCTCAACGGACTAAAGAGCCTACTAGGCAGTTGTCTGGGCAGGGGTTCGATTCCTGGCATGCTGTGCTGGCTCCGACCCCCGGGGCGCGCTGAGACAGCGACTGACACGGTGTGGTGATGCCCGCCTGTAATCCCAGCACTTGGGAGGCTGAAAACAGGAGTATCATTATGAGTCCCATCTGTGTAGGGAGACCCTCTAGGTGCTGTACTAAATACATTTTTAAAAAACCCAACATTCAACAAGAGATAAAAAAGTATCTCCAATAAATTACTTCTCCCAATGTTTGACTCTGTATCAATCAAAGTAAGTACCGATTAACATTTTTATTTAGTACTTTGAAATCACGCAAATCAGAAAGTGTTAAAAATATAATTACTTCAGTTATATGTAATGTATTTTGATGCTGCTCTAGTACTTGCAAAATCTCCAACCAAGGCTGGCTAGAGGTATGTTGAACATGTATATATAATTTTGTTGGTGAAAGCTTTATTGAAAGACTTAAGTGACTACATCTGTTCCCAAAGTAGTTATCATTCTGAATAGTTCACCTTGTTACTCTAATCTTCCATTTCTTCTTCAGGATATAGAGCCAAATGTATAGTGTTCTGGTGAGAAGCCAATAACAAGAGAACACGGTATGTATAAACATTCTTTGATGGGCTGGGGAGATAGCTCAGTAGAATAAGCGCTTGCCTGGCAAGCTCAAGGCCCTGAGCTCAATTCCCAGCACTGCAAAATAAACAAATAAACAAATAAAATAAACATGCTTAGAAAATAAAATGCAGGTGGCAAACACATGGGCTAACCTGAACAACCTTGCAGGGTGTACCGTGATAATATTTATAATTATGTTGTCACTAAACTCTCAGTTCCATGATTCAATTATCCTGGGACTAAGATGAACCAAAGTAAATGTAATGCCTTGAAATAAGTACGTCTTACTGAAATTCTAGAATAGATCTAGCATTGTGTATCAGCCTTAAAAGATGAAATTTTTAAATTTCAAAGTTTACAGAAACATTGTAGGGGAAAAGTGATTAAAAAGGTGAAATCTTCTTTATTTATAAGTCATCTGGAGACAATACTCAGTCTTTTCTGATTGGAACAGTGTTGTGCTGTCAGACAGGAAAATTTTAAGCCTACATGTTGGACATTTTCAACTGTTATTTCATGCAGCTATATGATTTGCAAAATAGACAAAGAAGAGAGAAAAGATAAAAACTCTAAGTAGAAAATATAACTTTATAACTACATTTTACAGAATATTCCAAGAGATATCATTGGCTATTTTATTATTTTGAAAATATTACTTATTTTAACAACCAAAAATCCCCAATTTCAACATTGGAAATGATAAATTATTGAAAAATATGTAGAACCAAGATGCCATTTCAATGCCATTGATACCACTATACTGTTGAACAAATACTATATGAGGTATTAAACATTGTACATAATCATACACCGAGGATTTGAATTGTAGCTCGACCAGTTGTTCAAGGCCACTAAAATACTGAAGAGGATTATTAACAGTGGGGAGGATCAGAACTCCAAAGGCTTTTCTAACTCAAAATTGGAAATGGTGATTTCACTAAAACATCGTAACTGCTAAGAATTATAAATAATTCATGACACAAAAGCGACATCCACTTCTAATGCTTCGTCATCTACTACATTAACTGAGTGATGTTATCGTGACTATCTGGGATATGCACAGCAGTAGGGCGCTTCATGAGAGTGCCATTATGACACACAGTAATCAGATTTCATCACTTTTGACGGTTGGTGTAACTTCTACATTTTACACCGAGCATCACCATGCCGTACTAACACCGCAGAAAACAATCAAATTCCTGTATTTTGATTGTGTGGGTGTAGAACAATCTAAATGTGAGCAACATGTACGAGTGGCTCAAATGCTAAAATTTAGTTTTAAGTGGTACTTATAGTATGAATTCAAGAACTAGGAAATTGCTCTTTTTATATAAATTTAAAATATGTCGATGGCTCCAGTTTCATCCGGTCTAATTTTCTTCAGTATTGAGTGACTTAGTTTTCAAATTCATTCATTTCAGTGATTTGCAAGAATTATGAAAGTACAACACCTCCAGAGAGTAATGGTCCACAAACATTTAGCTTAAGTACCATGGTTGTGCTGGTATTTTATATCATTGGTTATTTTATTATTTTGAAAATAATACTTATTTTAACAACTAAAAATCTTCCATTTCAACATTGGAAATGATAAATTATTGAAAAATATGAAGAACAAAAATGCTATTTCAATGCCATTAAAACACATCCATCTAAGTATGATTAGAGACCTGGCTAACAAGGTGGAAAATATCATTTTAAAACCCGTGTCACATAACACACAGCCACAACAAGAGTTATTCAAAATTCCCAGGTAAGACAAAGTTGTGAATACCAAAATAAAGAACATACATTGACAAAAAGAAAGGAACTTTTGAAAGGATGGCACAACTGGCATAAAAGGTCATTAATTGCTAATAGACCCATTGAGGTATGGTTGCTGAATGCAGGATTAGGGCAACGCAGACACACAGAACTTTTAACTCTGAAACATCCAATATAAGAAGAACAGGACCAGGGGAATAGCTCAGTGGCACAGTGCCTGCCTGGCAAGCACAAGGTCCTGAGTTTGGTTCCCAGTACAAAAACAAAAGACAAAAAACAAACAAACAAAAATAAAGCAGAGTAAGATGGACAAACACGAGCAAAAATAAACACTTTCTCAACACTAATAATTCTACATTTACATAACTGCTATATGCAATATGAAATCTGGCCCAAATGATGACAGAATCTATATGCAAAGTTGCCATTGACTTAGGAGAATTAGGAGAGTGGTCGTTCACAAATAAATTTTGTTAAAATTCATCTTGGACTAGAATCATTTGGAAAGTAGATGAAAAATAAGTAGGTGAGAATTCAGGAGTTAGGAAGGATAATATTAAGATTAATTCTTTTAAGCCTTTCCCAAATGTCCATTCATTTATAAAAAGGAGATAAATTTTCTTTGATCTGAAGAGATTTTCCACACATGTATAGTGTACAGCATCCTATATACATATGGCAGCCCCTATGTACATATGTATACACTATCTATATACCGTTAAGTGTATCCACAGCTTTAACTCAAAGAAAGTGAGTTATTGACCCAGTAATCATTGCCAGACAATCCAAGTGCTGAAATAAATAACAATGATCACTGACAGAGCTAATTCATCCCTCCATTGCTCAAGACTGAGAGTAAATTTTTTTTTCCATTTTTCCTTCATTGCAACACTGATTGTCATCAATAACCTTTGTGCTTCTGTATAATGCCCATTTCAGGTGTAACATATATTCACATAAAACATTGGACATTTTAAATAAGCATGCTGGAACACAGGCAGGACCATACATCCATGCACAGAATATTCTGAATATGTTTTTCCAAACTGACTGCAACATTGACATGCACCACTACCATATTGGTCCTGTACAGCAAGGAATGTACAGCTGGAGCAACCGCAGCAAGTTTTGCTTGCAAGGGTTTCTTTAGAGAACACTTCATAGAGAAATGAGACAGAATGAATGAAACAAGTATCTCCCAAAACAAAAAAAAAAAAAAAAGAAGAAAAGAAAAAGAATTCCTCCCACATGTTAACACCGAAAACCTGGCCACTTTCCTCATTCCATGTAAAGCCGCGCCTCGCACAAAATTCTGAGTGTAAATGTTTACAAAAGACGTGTATCAGTGTCTTAGTGCTTTTCCCAGCCACTGGAAAAGCTCATCTTGATAGAGCGTTTTCCAGCGTACGTTGGCTTCGACGGTTTCCACAGCTCGTGTGAAGGAGGCAGCAGCGACCCCATCATAGTTCTTCATGAAGTTCTTTAGCTGGAAGCGAAATATAAAATAGTAAATTTGCAGGTCACAACATGAGCTCATGTGCAATAGGCAGAAGAACCCATCTGAAGCAAAGTGCCCAGCTGAAAAGCTCAACCAGTCCTCTGGCACGAATGTCACTTGCTTTCAGTTAATTAATTAATCTACTTTTATTTAATAGGACACGTTTGCAGTACATACATTTGACAGTCACTTAGGGAGTTGGAACTTGTACATGACACAGCTGTTTCTCTTTCTGATTCCTTTCTCCCCCTCCCGCCCTCCTCTTCTAATTCTTTTTTCCCCTTCTTCATTCTTGTTGATGTTATAACTTTAGTTCATGTTTATGGCTTAAAACAGCCACATTCATTGAAGTTGTTAGGATTCTGTACAAGACATATCTTCACTCTATATATTTCCCCACACCTTTTCCCTACCCCTTGCCCATGATTCCCTGGACTCCTCCCACCTGCAAGGGCTCCTCCCCTTGTCTTCTCCAATCCTTCCTTTATTGCTCTCTTAGCTGAGCCATGCATGTATTATTACTCTCCCATCAACACTGGTATAGATAACACCGCCGACGTGTAAGTCCTTAGGCCTACATGATGTTTCAGAGACTTGAAGGACATTTGTGCAAACCATCAACGGTACACTTGGGATCAAACAAGTGCTGACGAGTGACAACTTGATGTTAAAAAAACCAAAACCTCTAGCACCACGTCATGGTAATACTGCATTTTCCTGTACACGCATTCTAAGAAGCATCTTCAGAGCTAAGAAGGCCAATCATACTCATGCACCTGACTGATTACTTCAGCTTCAATTGCCTTTCCCTGCTCTGGAACTCATCCCATTTCTTCATCCCATTAACTCCCAATTTTGCCTAGGCAAACCTGAAACTTGCTCTCCCAGGCCTGTAAATTTGCAGCCTCATGAAGAAACGTTCTTTTTTATAAAATTCATCATTTCAGTGATCAGCATACTGTTTATATGGGGAAATGGGCCTTGCCTTGATAGCACAGTCAGTACAGAAGGTATATTTAGTAGCAAAAGACAATATAACAAGCAATATAAATTAATTGTAATGCAATTTGAAATGAAAAGACCTTCCCCCACCCCAGAAAAAAAGTGGACATTACCTTTGGAATTATCCAAAATTCATCTTTTTTATCACTAGGGATTAAAATAGATTTATTCTCTGAAATAGTTGGATGATATTGTGACAAAGGCTACTTATAACAGCAAGGCATACATAACATAGAAAATAGCCTTAAAACTTGAATATAAAATTTAAGGCTCATATTTTGTTTGTAAAGAGAAAATCATTCTTCATCGTCTACAAATAAGTAATATAGAGTTTGACAGTATCATTGGTGTCAAGGGATTACCAAATTTATTGGGTGTTGGAAAAAGTAATAGGTCTATGAAACCCAGATGATTAATGATATTGCAATCATCCAAGTAACTAGATTTAGAAAGAATAAAGGGGAAATATGGACCTATTTAGCTAGAGAATTTGAGCATTTGAGTTAGAATTTTAAGCACTTTGTCATAATTTGTATTGATATCAGACTATCTAAAAAGAGTTCATCGAATCTAGGAATACTCTGCCATTCCCGCTCCAGATTAAATCCTAGCAGCTTTTCTTTCTGCCTAGTATGTCTTAAGAAACGGGCAACCAACCAGCAATCACAATGCTAATCGACAAATGTGCAAAATCAACTTGCAGTGAGGGAACATTATGAGGTGTAATTAGTGTGGGACGTGACTGTCACATGGTGGATGCCACATGGAAGGAAACAGAGTGCATGGAGACAAGCTCAGGAGCAGGGGGACAGCATAAGGGTACAGAAGGGACTTAATTATGCCTTGCTAAATTAATTTAGATTTTAGTTTGTGGGTAGCTTTGTTTGTTTATGAAAGTGCTTCTCTGATTACATAATACCTCCTAGTTTTCTCCAAGGTTATCATCTATGGTCCTTTGCAAAGCCCTTTGTCTAGTTATATTGGCAATTGATAATCTCACAGCTACATCCTTGTAAAGATTTCAAAATCATTACAATTCTATAGCAAACATGTAAAATGCACAACGTCTACACAATTGTTAGTGTTCGTCCTAAAAACTGATCAGACATTTGACAAAAGTTACACACATTAAGAAAGAAGAAAGATAAAAAAGGCAGGAATGCATTGAACATCGCCAATATTTCAGGCACTGCCCTCCCTGAAGTACTAACAAGGAAGTCTAGAGAGTACTTGAACCATAATTTGGAAAATAGCTAATTATACACCAACACATTTTTATGATCATGGTCATGTTTAGACTTATTCAGGCTACATTTCTAAAGCCAGAAATAATATCTTTTGTTCTATGTTTCGAGTTTTATGCTTTCTTACAAAAACATGATGTTAGGTGTCATTATTTGCTATATTGTATGCCAATCAAAAACATAGCTCTCCTTTAAACTATGTTCTGCGTTGTATTTTTCTAGACACTCACTGAATATGCTAGTGATAAATGCCCCACTGGCAACTTGAGCTCCATGGAGCATGCTCTTGGCCTCTTTGTGAAGCCAACCTGAACACTGAAGTAAAACTCTTCAATCTTCCTTAAAGGCAAGCTGTGCATTTGAATGTGAACATATTATTGTGACAAGGATGGTAGGTCAGGTTATCTCGCAGGAGAGTTCTGAGTAGACAATGTATCTGGTTGGTCTCTAGTGATTCATTTCTTAAATCACTATGTAAGTGCATTAAATACTTCCCCTGTGAGCTCTGAGAGCCTGAGGTAACTCACGGGTAGGCCCTAAGAGCGGCTTATCCATCAGAGCACATCTGGCCCACTTTGCAGGGTGGCCATGAATTGCCGTCACGGCTCATATTCCTCCGCTGCTCCTGCCGCAGACATGTGGGCCAAGCAGTCGTGGAAGCGCTTCTAGAGCATTTCTGCAGTGTCTTGTGACCCTTGCTTCACCTTACAGGACTTGGAGAAGATGGAAGGCATTTAGCATTGCTTCTTCAGTCTTTTGTAGGTTTTCTGGTGCTTTTCACTTTAAAAATTATTATTACGTTTCCTACATATCTATGCCAAATTTTGCTTGTCCTTTAAAAAATCTTGAATATTTAGACACTCTTACAAAGTATAATTTAGTAAAATATTGGTGTTGTTCATGCACCCTGGTATTCTTAGTAAGAAATTTCTGTGTAGATTTACTTATTGAATTTTTCTGCTTTTCTTTTCCTTTTTTTGTTTTGGTTTTGGTTTTGGTTTTGGTACCCGGAATTGAACTCACAACCTCATGCTCGCTAGGTAAGCACTATGCCACTGAGCTATATTCGTGGCCCAAAAATATTTTAGTATATTTTGAAGATCTCTTATTTCAGTGTACTCTAGACCCTAATGCCATATGCGAATTATTTTTAGAGTACATTGCAAAAGGCAATACACTTTATAGAAATAAAATTAGCCATTGTCAGACTGTGAGGGGTAAGTCTTTAACATTAACAGTGTAAATGGGACGTCTAGTATGCCAGGACCCATGTAACCCTGAAACAGTGTCAAATATTCTGGTATTGTTCACCAGGCAGGAGAAACAGGTGCATGAGGAGACTGCTTAATAGACAAGAGAATCAAAGATCCCAAGGGCCTCTGAGGTCCCAGGAGGTCAGACCTCAATTATTTTAAAATTAAGAAAGTGATGGATTACTTTGAGAACAAATATTGTTCAAGCTATTAGAGCCCTTTAAGTAAAGGAAATTCATTTTCAGGTACTAGAAGGAAATTCTGAGGAAGGGAACCCTGAACGATGTAAGTTTCTCTCTTCTAAATGTCACTAATGCTAACAAAGATCATTAAAATAGCAAATGGGTTTTTAGAATGCATAAATCTACTGATTTCCTTTTAATCTATGACCCCTGGATAAAACAGCAGGCTGTATCCCAAATGAGTACATTGGGATTTTCTATTTATGTGGCTACATGGTTAAAGGAACCAGGACTAGATTTTTCTTTGTCCTTTTATTTCAGAAAAGGAAATTACCATCATTACAAATTAACCCAACCACCCCAGCTGGGTACAGTGTCCTGCAACCCTGTAGACAATAGATGATAAAAGTATGAAAATGTCTTTGGCAAAGGAGTCAAGATAGGAAGTTGGAGCAAGTCGCTCCATAGAGAAGCGATTTATCACTGATTCCACTGAGAGCTTGTATTGTGAAGTTAGCTGCTTTGAAGATAATGGAATGAAAGCCACAGCTTTGCTTCATTTATAAAATTGTACCTTTTATTATGGGGGCACCTTGGAACATCTAAAATGACAGTGAAATAAAAGAATAAAATTATGCAGGCAAAATAGACAACAAAACAATGTGTGACAAAAATCAATTAAATGTGGATTTAAATGATTTCTTTAACAATGCCTGGGTATTATCAAGTCAGGGAAAACATGAACAGTGAGCAGAATTAGAAAAAGCATGAGGAATGGAGAAAGGACAGACAGGAGGTGTGAGGAAAGGGGACAGAAGGAGAGAGATGGGAGGAAAGAGGAGAAGGAGGGTAGCAAGAACAAGGAAGAGGAGAAGGAGGAGAGAAATTTTTCACTTCTCTGCTAGCTTGATCTGCTCAGGTTGTGACTAAGTACGTCGTTTGTTTCAAGAGTAACTAATTATAAAACCCAAGACTTTACACGTACTCTATCTACATACTAAAAAAAGGAAGCTATCACTAACTTAATTGTTTCTCTTTTTGTTTGTTGTAGTTATAAAAAGTTCTTTCCATTTAGCTTTCTATATTTGCAAAAATAGTTTTAAAAAATGTTCTGGGATTTCTAACCAAATCCCTCAAGCTGGGGAACACACATGGCAAGGATCAAGACTGAATCTCGAATCATTACAATCAGGGCCGTAGCTTATTTTAGCTCACAATGCAACAGAATCCCCCTGAGTTAGTACATGGGGGATCATCTCAGGAAACAAGGCATTATTAGAAAACATTAAGACCAGGCTTGGTGCTTCCAGGAATGAAGTCTGATGGGATTAACTCTGGATCCCAGCATCAGGCTTTCTATCAATAAAAACTGAGAAAAACATGATTCTCAATACAAACTAGCAGCTGTATTTTATAATGGAGAAGGACAACAAAGGAAAAGACAGAAGTCTTTGAGGTTCAACACACTATAATCAATTAAAATATTCTAAATTCTGTACCTCTGTCCTACCTTCCTATTTCTCCATATTCCACATTCATCTCTTTCAGAGTTATTGGGGGGAGTAGGGGACATGAGGGTTGCCTAGCTCCTTTACATTTCTAGAAAAAAAAAAAAACCAAAGGCAAAGGAAATGTGTGCTACTCCCAAATCTGGACTCTATCAATTCAACAAAAGATCAAATTTATTTTCATCATAAAATTCATCGGTGATCGCACCAAACAATTTTGAAGCATTAATTGAATGTGTATTACTACATAGATCTGCTGCTTCTCACATATAAAAATCCGTTCAACGTAACAGGCTAGATAGCATGAAGCACTGTTATCATGTCCCATGGTCTGTTGTCTAGATAGAACAAACAATGAAGCAGTGAGACTATGTTATATACCATAATGCCAACTCAGTCTCTATATGAATACTGAGTCACTGACATGAATGTTTTATTGCTTAGTGGGTCCTACACTAAAATTCATACAATCATCTGAGGCATATCTTCTTGAATCAAAGATTATGGAACAGAATTTTGGTATCCAGCTTTGAAAATGATTATATTCAAATACTCTTTTCAGATAGTCTATGCTCAATATAGTAGAAATAGTTCAGTAAATAATGAACTGAGAAAATTCTTTTACTTATAGGTGTGGTGTGTGTGTGTGTGTGTGTGTGTGTGTGTGTGTGTGAGTGTATGTGTAAAAGTAGTTGGTATGAATCTGATGTAATCAAGTGGAAAGAAATGGTTTAAGTAAATATATACTTCCATATATTTATACAAGGAAAATTGGAATTCATCGCAAATTATTTACCTCTTTGAGTTCGCCTTCAGTATTAAGAAATTCTGTAACTCCACTGATAAGTTTGGAATTCATAAATAATGCTTCTCCATACCTTAAAAGATTAAAGAAAAAGCTTCCATCATTATTCTAGATAACTATTTAAGAAATGTTACTATGAAGATTTTAGATTCTCTGTCAATAATTCCATGGACAAGAGGATCTAATTGTTCATTTGGATTGCATAAATCTTGTACTAACAACACAATTATTTATGACAGAAGACAGTGAATAATTTGCATCAGTTGGTAGAGGGAGTTTTCTTACCAATTTGTCTCTTATGCTAAGGATTTCTATCATGAACACTATTGAACCATATTGCTATCATACTTTTAGAACACTTATACTAAAATGAAGACTGTGTTTTGGAAGCAAACATCAAACCACCTTAACAAGAGATTTCCTAATACTTCTTTAATTCAAAGAATTGTAAGTAACTTAGCTTCTGAAGAACTTAGTTTTTATTCTGTAAAATAAGAGATAAGCTGGATAACATATAATTTCTTATCATTCTAATATCAAAGTGTTTTATGGAAACAGCTACATGAAATAAAACAAGTAAGCATTCAATAACAATATCAGTGATTATACCATAATTAGTATGTGGTTAGAAAATTAACATATTATCCATTAATGAAAATGATTATTTTTCTAAGAAAGTGCCAATTGTTCTTAATTATGCTTTCTCAGACAAAGATAAATAAGATGATATCTTTCTTGAAGGCATTTTATTATCTAGTTGAAGAGTCAGACATGTAAACAGACAATTCCCACTTAATGTAACTAAATGTGGCATTGATAAAGTTTCATGTAGCATTCAGATATGGTATCTAGCTGGAGGGTCTTGGAAATGCTTTCAAGGAAATGGTTCATCTACACTGAATATGGGAAGTTCTGTGGAAGTAATTTTGGGTAGAGTACCAACACAAGCAATAAAGAGTTTGTGCAGGCAATGATAAACAGTTACAATTGTAAGCAGTAGGGCTGAGTGTGTAAACTGTGAGCCTAAAGAGAAGAACAAGAAGATGAGAAAGTATCGAGGAGATTAGATTTCAAATATGGCATGGAACTTCGCAAAGTTTTACAGCAAGGGAATAATTGCACTTAGTTTTCAGAAAGATGCTTGGAACAATGGGAAGAGGCTTGTAAGTATATGCATATGTGTGAGTGTATTGTAAAGTAACAGGGAGACAGGACACTATTGTAAGGGGGTTCCAGTCCCTTTACTAAGGTGAAATCCTGCATAGGGAAATGGGGTAGCGGACAAAAAGGAAAAACTCAAAAAACACTTTGGAAGTGTTAAATGGGAAGACCTCTTGTCTACAAATGGCAGTGCAAGACGGATGCCTCGATAGATTTCCAAGCATGTAGATAATGGTAGATCGGTGTAGGTAGGTGCACTCCAATAGAAAGCCACAGAGGGGAAAGTGTCCATCACAGAGCATGGCTTGGGTGAAATATTTGAGGTAGAAATGTGAACTTGGAAGTACTTGAAACTTCAAGAGTAAATGAACAAGAAAATCTTTACAGAGAAGAAAAGATATGTTGGAAAGGATTTCCCCATGAAGTTTACCATGAAGGACTGACACAAGACTTGGAGTAGATGAAGAGGACAGTCTTCTTTGTCAAGATAAATATTGCTGTATTCGTAGCTACAGTAAAACTTCAACCTTTCTAACTTTTGCATAGAGGTTGTGGATGCTGAGAAACAAATTAATCATAGCAGTAACTAAACACTTTTGTTGGACAAGAAGCAATGTATGTACAGATACATTCCACTGAACTCTGACCTGCAAAACCAATGAAAAGCTGTATGTATTGATAGGCATTTAACATTTTTTTAAAGTGAAGAGCTCATTTATATCAATTTCACCTTGCTGCCTATTGTATGACTATGCTATCTATGCATGACAGCAAAGCAAGCTCTAATCTTCCAGGGACTCCAAGTTCTGAACTGAAAATACAAAAAGTCAATGTGCTTTATAGGAATATTGGGATATCTGTGGATAGAAATGTGTTTAATGACCTACTATTTTCAACTGAACTTATTATACCAGGGCTGCTGATAAAAGTGTGCTTAAGTATAATATTTTTATTAGTTTTTAATAAGAGACAGAATAATAATTTGGCTTAGTATCTGGGAACATTTATGTTTGAAAAGGACATCTAGCATTTACATACTCTACAAGAAATTTAATTTTAAAATACTCTAGAGATTATCAGAGTAATACATTGGCACTTATAATACATTTAAATACCTAATTAAATATTTTATAAAACTGAGGCTGAAGAATTTTCACTACAATACAAGACATCCTGGAAAAGAATTCCACTGCAACTTGAACCATACAATGATTTAAATGATTAACGTTTCTTCTCCTCTATATAGTGCCTTCATTTAGATGTCTTATGATATCTACATTTAAAAGAAATTTAAAACAATTATATAGAAGTAAAGTTTCTTATTATAACACTAATTACATCTTATTTACTAATAGTCTTCTATAACATGTTCAGGATATAGAAGTCTTACCATAAAAATTATTCAACTTTGAATATTTGATAGAATTTCTAGGAAAATTGGTCTACTAAACATTTTGTACCATGTGTTCAGATATAATTAATTAATCATTGTCTAATAAATGAATAATGCTATATAATTTCTAAAATAATTCTGAAGAGTAGAACATCCATCATGCTTGACTATTTTTAAAATCTTACAGTATTACTTGAATCTTAGTTATAACACAAAACTTGGGCCTTTGTTCTTCATACGTCTGCTTTCATTTACTTTTTCACACATGCATGATTGAATACTTATTTCTACCTGGTATTTAATATCTTCCATTTATCTCGGAAAAACTTCCAGGCAAGATCTCGGCCATGAGGATTTCGAGCTACGTGAATTATGACATCAATTGCATCTTGATCCAGCACAACCTCTGAATTCAGGGACAGATTTAGAAGCCTATAATGGTAGAATTGGGAAGAAATTCTTAGGAAGCAACATACTTTATAATCTCAAAACTTACATAATATTGTTTCTCTTAATCTTCAAAAGTATATAGGTCAGTGAAAACTTTCCTACTACAAATTTAATAGAGAAAACTTCTGTTTATAAAAAATGGAGAAGGCCATTTAAATTAGATACGTTAATTAAACTCTAAAAATTTCTATGGGATAGGGAATTCACACATCTGCTTTCAGATTGCAAACTTTTCTTTAAAAATTTCTGCATTAAGTAGATATTTTCATAATGAAATATTTTCTTATACACATATATAGTTATCAAATAATTTGTCATGAATATGTTTTAAATAAAAAACAAATAAGTTCAGATGTTTTTACCATCAAGTGATTTTAGTTATGTTGGTATGGAAGATTTTCTTATCTTTAGGAATATGTATATGAGGCCAGGGATTTAGCTCAGTGGTATAGTACCTGGAAAGTGCAAGGTTCTGAGTTCAATTTCCAGTTCAGAAGAAAAGGATAGATAGATAGATAGATAGATAGATAGATAGATAGATAGATAGATAACTTCAGAACAGTTTGATTAGAGAATACTTTCATTACAAAAACAAATCTAGAAGATTAATTACCCACCTGTTTAATAAATTCCTGTCATCACTGCACGTTAAGGCCTCCAACAATATTTTCTTTTCAGAAATTGCTGTGGTGGAGTGGAATTTCATCCAGAGGAATTCCCACACATCCTCATCCAACAGCGATACTCCTGTGCAGTAGACGATGTCTCTAACATTTAGCGGTATTCTGAGGAAGCAACCCATGGTGATTTTCTGTTAATTAAAAACTTCATGGTGTTGAGAGTAAAGACAGACCTTATTTGGCATGCTTTTTTATTTAAAAAAAAGACTTTTTCCTAAAAGAGAATCATACTATGCAGTAATAATATTAAAAAATTAATGACTGGATGAATAAAACAATGTCTTTCATTCAAAAGAAGTTCTGAAAGCAAGTTCTGTGTAAATTCTTTTTAAAATTAGTTTTATTGATATGTTTCACATATACATAATGACATCATAGGAAATGTGTATTTGTATGCAATATGTCTTAGTTCTTTTTTTCACATTCCCCTTCCTTTCCTTCAACCTCTCTTCTCCACCTATTTACAAAAGCTTTGTTTCCCTTTGTGTCCACACTTGGAATTTTATTTCAAGATGCTGGAGCCTCTGCTTACATTTTCATCTCGGAGAGAAGAGCCCAGTGGCATTTTTGTCTGTATACTCTGTACAGAGGTAGGCAGGCTTTGTAGAGCGTAAGAGTCTAAACTATGTTAGACTCCCTGGGTGGCTAGACCGCATCGGATCCTCCAGAGCTCCCAAAGGCCAGGAAATCGAATATTGGGTATTTGGGCAACGCAGGAGAAACTGGGTACTGCAGACACAGACCAATTTTTTCCCCTTTCCAGATGATAACCAAAACCTGAAATTTCACCCCCATCCCTGTTTGCTCTGTGCTGGGCATGAGGGAAGATACACATCAACCTCTGGCTCAAACTGCTACTTTTGTCTTCTCTCATGAAGACAGACCTAGGGGAGCTCGAAGACTAGGGAAGCGAGTCCTAATTCTCTGTATTGTTTTGGAGAAGGCGGGGAATTACAGACTTCAGTCAAATCTTTCTGTTCCCAGCATTTAGCTAAGAACTTGGACTTTTCATCTTCTTTGAAGCCAAACAAGGAAAGAATCTATGGCTCAAGAATTCAAGTGGCTGTCTCCATTCTCCTTCAGGTGGGTAGAATGTGCCAGTCCTTTCAGAGCTGCTGGAGAAGGCAAGATAGCCATCCCTCTGGAGAACTTCCTGAGAAAAGCTGGAAAGAATCTGGCATCCGGAGGGTTTCATCCAGGCCATATGATGCTATGTCAGAAGTACATGTCAAATGAATAGGCTAAGTCTTCCTACCGGGTTTGACAATTCAGGCCTGACATTCCCTAATGGTAGAGGAGTCTTCCACTTAGCCTTTGGATTCCTCAAGAGTAAATCTGTCCATGAGTTACTGATTAATGTGCATCTGTAGGGCAGAAGGGGCCCAGAGATTACTGCTTTACCAACTTGCTGACATCTGCCCAAGGTTACATTACCCTTTAAGAGAGTACCATTATCAAGAGTAGGGCCTACTCATTGACATTGGTAATACCACTAGGATCAATGATATGATAACGCTAAAGCAGCCAAAATACAATGCTCTGAGAATTCAGCCGCACACTTATATGACTGCCAAGCCTTATTAAAAATTTTTAGTTACTTATTTATTTATTTTTAATTTACGTATTTGGTACAGGGTCTTGCTACCCATCTCAGGCTCATAGTGATCCTCCTGTTTCAACCTCCCCAGTGCTGGGATTACAGCATGCACCACCATGCCCAGTCTCAGTGATCAGCTTGGTGCAGGGCTGTCACAGCATGCGGTGCCAGGGATTGAACCCGGGTCCTGGTGCTTGCCAGACAGGCACTTAGACCATGGAGCTATCTCCCAGGCCCATGAAAATTTTTTAAAGTCATAATTATTCATCTTTGCAGGACATTTGATTTTAGCAAGACTAGATTGCCAATAAATAATCTTTATATTTACCAGTGCTGAAGTGATACTTGCAGAAGCACAGCTTCTTGGTGACAGAAAGGGAGGTATGTTAGCAGGATAGCTGAGGGGCTGCTGTGTGGCAAGAAGGCCATGCACACAGAAGTGGGAAAAATTGGCAGGAGAGATAGCTCAGTAGAATAAGTACTTGCCTGGCAAGCTCAGTAGAATAAGTTTAATCCCCGGTACCAACCAAAAAAAAAAAAAAAAAAAAAAAAGGGCAAAACGGTGGAAGGACATTGAGAAATAATGTTGGTTAAAATGACCAACACCCTGAAAAAATTGAACACAAGTGTGGCTGGAAGGCCTTTGAAGGCAAGTACCTATACTAGAGGGGTTTTCTGTCTCTGTGACTGCAGCAAATGAAGAGAATGGCTTGAGCTCCGCAATCCACCGCCTGGATGTGCTTTGTACAGAAGTTCTGATCAAGCTTCTCCTCAAAAGCAGCTCCTTTGTGTCCAGTCGATGGATCACGGTTGATTTTTATGAAAGCGAAGCACACATATCCTTACACATACAACCTGAAGTACACAATGGTACAATGAAAAGTAACTGTCAGCCTTGGGTATAAATCCGCCCAGATCTCAGGACAGAAATGACTCCATGATCAGAGACTAGGGTGTACACTCACAGAGGTTCAGATGGCTTTTTGGAAGTGAAAACAGAGATGATTAGCCCGAAAATGCTACTCTCATTTTTCCAGCATGTATTCCCGCCCCATCAGTTTCTCATCTTCCTTACACATCCACCAAATAAAGAATTAATGTACAATTCACAAGATCATTTATACTCATCACTGAAAACAAAACAAGATTGGTAAGCACTGAACATGCCATGGGCCTTCAATTCCCAACGACTCCCATTGCTAATGAAATCCCCTTTTGTTGCTAAATTTGTAAAGATGTTCTAATAACATTTTAGCAAAATGATTGCTCTGGAGACAGTTTAAGATCTCTCTGTATAAACCAAGTCATTAGGAACAAATGAAAAAGCTCATTTGTTTGTAAAGCATCAGCTACAAAAGCACAGAGCCCATAGTTACGAACGGTACAAATGAGTCCTGGGAGACACTTGACATCAGGATTACAGGGAAAAGAGCCCCTCCTAGTGAACAGGAAAATTGTTTATGAAGATGTGAGCATCCCGGTGGTCATTTCTTTTAAACTGCTACCTCAGAAGTAAATCCTTTAATGGAATTTGATCAACTGGAAAGGAAACCTGTGTTTTTCTCCAGGTATTGTAAACATGCATGAATAGTCACCCGGCCTCTCCTAACTACCTTCATGTGAGATGAACAGGGTCACATTGAGTCAAAATTTAATGGCTTTATCATTCTTAAGGTAGTAACACTGCAGAAATTATTATCTAATTAATATGACTGATACTGTGGCCTTTATTGCACACTTACTTTAAATAGGATTATGACAGTTCATTTGCAAGATGCAAGTGTTGAGAGCACAGATGTTCAATGTATCAGTTGGAATTAATTTATATAAACTAAATGTTTTGGTGGCATATGTTTAAAAAAAAGCAGAAAAATAAATATATCCATCCTTCAGCATTATTTTTACTGAGTTAAACAATGATAGTTGTCTTAGTACTGTGACAGCAAAGTACAATAGACTGGGTTAAGAAAAACAGGAAGTTTGTCACTTACAGCTTTTAAGCTGAAGGTCTGAGATCAATGTACTACCAAGGTCATCTAAGGTCATATTCTAATGAGGACTTCTTTGGTATACATATAAGCTTCTGGCTTCTTATTTTGTCCTCAAATGACAGGAAGAGGGCTGGAGGACTCTGACATGGTTTTCAGTACCGGCATTAATCCCTTATGAGCTGGCTGCTCCCTACTAACATAATTAATTTCCAAAGATCATACCTAAGACTATTACATTGTCATTGAGGATCCTTCTTTTATGGATTTGGGGGCTGGAGGTGACATAAACATTCCATCCATAATATTGCTGGATTGAAACTAAATCATAGACAATTGGTACTTCAGTTAAGAAATGAACAATTTGCAATGTATTTATAAATTACCATAAGTAACTAAGAAAACTTCCCAAAATTTATTTGTGAGAATTTTTATTTCTGTATACTTTTTAAGGCAAAAATTCTGGATTCATCCAGAATACCAACAATGTACTGGTTGAAGCTATGATACAAACGGAAATGGAGACTAACATAATAGATTAATAATTAATAATATCATATGGTTTCTTTTAAAGATACAATACAATACACATCTCAATATGCAGTATGTATAATACCATATGTGAAATTTAAAACATTAACCTGTTCTTAGGGAAAAAAATACTGAAAGGATAAAAAAGAGAGTATTAATAACATTTGCCTTAAAATTTAGGCATTATAGATAACTAGTAATTTTGATAATTCTGGCTTTTTTTTTTTTTGGGCAGAACTGGGGATTGAAGTCAGGCCATTGCACTTGCCAGGGAAATGCTTATTCCACTGAACCATCTTCCCGGACCCTGTTAATTAGCAATTTTGTTATTCATATATTTCAAGTTTAATAATTTAGTAATTGTTACCATTAGTTTGGTAATAAGCAAATGTATAACTACATGTATAAAATATAAATTATCTTAGAAATATAAAATTATATAAGTTATAAGTATATAATTATAATTACATTAATATAAAATTATCTTAGAATAAAATACATTCAGTATATAGAAATCTTATTGAATAACATAATGCATCATGATAAATATTAAATATCTTTCATGAAAATGATACTTGCTATAGGAAAAAATATACTATTTTCAAATCTAAATTTTGATCCTTAATTACAATATAAATTTATTTCTAAGAAGGATCTCACAGGAAGTGATTCAGCCAGTAACTACCCTTAGGCTTGGGTAAGACAAGGACGTGGTTTTGGACTTCATTTTTCACCCTAATTGAGCAGGGATAAAGTACATGAGTTTAAAGTCCTTTCTTTCTCTGTGACTGTAAGATTCTTTTCATCAGTGACTGGATTAACATTGAAATGTGGATTTAATTATTTTCAAAGACAATGAGAAATATTGCTCAAACCACGAGCTACTCAAGAGTGCTCTTTCTTCCAGTGACACTGCACATGCCACCAATACAGAGTGAGGCCTAACACTTAATTAATTTTAATTAATGTCAGATTAATTAATTCATTCA